AGTGGCAGGATAGCAATAAAGACGCAGACGTGGAGAATGGACTTGAGGACATGGGGAAGGGGAAGGGGAAGCTGTGACAAAGTGAGAGAGCAGCATGGACATATATACACTACCAAATGTAAAATAGATAGCTAGGGGGAAACAGCCCCATAGCACAGGGAGATCAGCTGGGTGCTTTGTGACCACCTAGAGGGGTGGGATAGGGAGGGTGGCAGGCAGATGCAAGAGGAAGGAGATATGGGGATATACGTATACGTATAGCTGATTCACTTTGTTATAAAGCAGAAACTAACACAATATTGTAAAGCAACTATACTGCAATAAAGATGTTTAAAAAATATTATCAAGACTGCAAATCTATTCAATATAATTTCGTGTTCTCCCTTAAGGAAAAAGGCAAAGGACAAGAAAAGGTCATTTTCAACTACTTCCCTGATGCTGGTGAAATCAGGAAGAAATTCTAGACTAGAACCGCATCCCTATTTTCCTAATAGAACTTCTCAATCCCTTTCCCTTCCTCTTGACAATGTGCATGAAACTAAGTGATAGAATCAACGTTCTTTTTCTGAAACAGCTCACAAATACATGAAGCAGATCTCCGTGGCTTTGTTCATATCTCTGATTTTCTGCGGACCTGTTTTTTTGTTTGTTTGTTTTTTTGCAGTATGCGGGCCTCTCACTGTTGTGGCCTCTGCTGCTGAGGAGCACAGGCTCCGGGACGCACAGGCTCAGCGGCCATGGCTCACGTGCCCAGCCGCTCCGTGGCATGTGGGATCTTCCCGGACCGGGGCACGAACCCGCGTCCCCTGCATCGGCAGGCGGACCCTCAACCACTGTGCCACCAGGGAAGCCCTGCGGACCTGTTTTTTAACGTATTTCTAAAGTTGTTATGGGAAATAATCATATCTCCAGGTTTTTCTATTTCAGGGAAAACTTAGAGCAACTTGACTGAGGCCAGAGAACAAGAATCTAGGAGAAACTGAAATCTGATTCCAGATTTCTGTGAAAAAGTGCTCTTTTTCACTCCTTTTGCTAAGTCTATAAAATAGCACATTACAAGCTGCCACTTCCAGAGTGACAGAAATGCTGGCAGAAAGGAATGAGTGCCACCACATGCACTCACTGGCGATGTCTACCATCTGTTCTCTGGATCTCCCGGGGAACCAGAAATGGTTGGAATAAGCACACTCTTAGCACTGTGCGTTATTCTTCTTTTTCACTTTCCTTGAGAGTTTCAAGGTTTTGTTGGCTGGTTGTTGGAGGAGGAGTAAAGCTAGTACGAGTCCTGGTAGAGTTGTTGTTATTAGTGCTTCAGCTCAGTTCCAACCAGAAACTATGACTTAAAGTACAGGAGCCTGGCTTTATTCACATAACATAGTTTGCTGTGCCTCCAACTACTTCCTGTGTGCTGACAGCTTTTTATTTATTTTTAGTCATTGGTTTGGTTTGGGTTTTTCCAGTTTTATTGAAATACAGTTGATGTACAGCACTGCATACGTTCAAGGGGTACAGCATCATGATTTGACTCACATATATGGTGAAACAATGACCACAATGCTTAGTTAACATCCATCATCTCATGTAGATACCAAAAAACGGAAAAACATGTTTCTTCCCCTTGTGATGAGAACTCTTCGTACCTGGTCTCTGAACAATTTTCAAATATACCACATAATTTTCAAATATACCACACAGTTAACTCTAGTGTTAACTATAGTTCCTCATGTTGGACGTTATAGCACAATACTGTGACTGCGACTATTGTCTGTTCTCAAAGCTAGGCACCTCTCCCCCAATTTAGGCTACATATCTTCAGTGAGAGAAGAAAACAGAGAATGTCTGTAAATCTCTTGTGAAAAATTCCACTTAGTTTAGAAAAGTTTTCACTTCCTTTTCAACATTTTTCTAAGAAAGAACCTAAGAAACTTGTCCAACAGGGTCCCAAGTAAAATAAGAGAAAACTGGGCTTGGGTATGAGCATGGTTCCGTGAATTCTACCACGATACCAGCAATGAAAGAGTCCCGAGAAGTCTGACTGCATTGTGGGCACCCCCATCACCAGCTGGGCACCGTACCCGCTCTGAAGCCCAGGACTGTGTTGTCTGAGAAAACTGAATTCTGTCCTGGGAGAAAAGAAATAAATAGGATAGAAAAAGCTCATGTGTTAAGCACAGAGAAGTAAGTTACTCAGCTGTGAGACATGGTGGACAGATGAGGTCAGTAGGGCATATACTGATACTTGTGAACAGAGATTGAAAAGGCTGGAAAGCCCAAGAGACGCCACATGTTCGTGAGGCACTCAACATACAAGAGGCATCGAATGTGCATCAAGCACCGTATCTTCACGGCACACTAAATGTCCGTGAGACACCCAATGTTCATGGGTCTTAATCCTGCCACCCAGAGGTGACACGCTTACTGTGTCCTACGTGTCCTGCCCAAAAAGTGCTCAGCAGGTTAACAGGCAACCTGGGGCTGTGGCCAGGCCCTCTCGCCCTACACCTCTCTGACAGAGCCAGAGTGTGTCGTTGGCTTAGGGCACCTTCCATTTCTGCACCCTCGCTCAAACCTCACCTCTGGTTCTACTTACCCCACCATCCACAGGAGGCTGACGTACCAAAAAGAGACAGGATGTATGTACATTGCATGACCACAGGTTTTAATCTTTCCACCCGCCTTGCACCCTCTCTAACTGTGTTGACTTTCTTTCTCCCTGGCTTCTCAAGGTGTGTTGGCTTTCTTTCCCTGACCTCTGGGAAAACTCGTCTGCTCGTGTATTTGGAGGGTACCATTGCACGGAGGTACCCTCCCACACAACATCAAGCAGGTAATCTCTGGGTATTACTCTGCCCTGTATATTAAAAATAATTTAAAAGGAGTGAAAGTCTTTTGCCTGATGTCCTACAATTTTCAACTCTTTGCACTCAGAAGTATACAAGGGAGAGTACACTTTCCTGGTAACAAGGGAAAGGATTCCTAATTTTGGCAGGTCCTAAGATATGTCCTTAGAAGACTTTTGAATCTTTAGGCTTTCCAAATAAACCAGACACACAATTTTTGTAATATTCTGGGGCATAGTTTATTTTAATTGCAAGAAGCTGAATTTCTTGATCCTACAAAGGTCACCTGAGTGGCCCTCTGACTACCACACACGTTGGGTAACTAGGCCTCATGGTTCTGGGCTTAGATAGCAAGAACTTTGGGTGTGTTCTGCCTGTTTGTTTAAATGGCCTAGCCTGAGATTTGGAGTTAAGGAAATCTGCTGTGTAAACTCCTATAATTTTATGCGAGGCCTAGCGACAGGGAAGGGCAAAGGTAACGGTTATGAAATAAAGTCACAGTGAGAAAAACCTGCTTTGTGAGCTGGTGCCGGTGCTGAGTCAGGAAGTGAAGAGGCTGTCAGCCCGTGAGGCAGATACAGGATCTGGAAAAGCTGATGCTCTAGCCTATTAAGGCGCAAAATCCTCTTGGCTGAGGGCAACACAAAGGGGTTTTCCTTTTCTCAAAAACACAAAATCACCCCAAATCCAGCTACTGCACTCAGGGAAGAGAGGGGCACCCTCGCCACCGTGGAAGGCGGCTGTGTGTTGAGAACAGGCCCCCATCTTCCTTCCTCTCCCTGTGGGCTGGAAGGCCGGCCACTGCTCCTCTGCCTGTCCCAGCCCTGTATTTCGAGAGTGTTGGGAGCAGGTAACTTGGTTCTTTAGTGTCACTGGTCCACAGATGAAGAGGAATTAGTGGATTACACCCAGGGGCCCCATCTTCACCTGACTTGGAAGAGCTTTTGGACACTGAACAGATGAGATTTAGATTTAGATGAGACCCTGGACTTCACGCAGATGCTGTACTGGCACGAGGCCCTTGCGAACGTTGGGAAGGACTGAATGCACTTTACCTGTGAATCATTAGGGGCTGGAGCGGGGGCTGCTGCAGGCAGAATTCTGATGTGGCCCCGAGATTCCCAGGCCCTGGTGTACGTGCCTGGTGTAACTGCTGCTCCTTGAGTGTGGGCTGGTCTGTAAATATGGTGGATTTCACTTCCATGATAACGTTATTAGTCAACTGACCTTGAGTTCATAAAAAAATGAAATTATGATGGGTGGGCTTGACCTAATTACATAACCCCTCCTGCCCTTCAAAGAAGTCTAATTCAAGGGAAAGGAAGAGAAATTCTGCTGGCTTTGAAGAGGTAAGTCACTACGTTGTGAGAGCCATTTGGTTGGGACTTGAGAGCAACCTCTAGGAGCTTAGAGTGATCTCCAGTTAACAGCTGGCAAGAAAGCAACAAAACAGCGGCCTCAGTCCTACAACAACAAGTAGAATCATGTCACCGGACCCTACTTAAAGACCTTTTAAGTGATATGTTGTATGCAGCTATCAAAAAGGATGAGTTGAATCTAGAATGTTGATATTAATGCTTATAGAGTGCTATGTGCCTCAAAGATACAAAAAATACATATTTAGATCAGATATTCATTACTCTCTTGTGTTTTACTGGAGGGCCCCCAAAGTGTACATAATCAAAGGCATTAGTGTGTGATACAGAGTTTGATACAATTTGGTAGGGAGGCAAAGAAGCTTCTCTTGCACACCCTGCTGTGCAACACTCGACAGCAAACTCTCCTTCAGCACTTACCCCACCTTCTCCCGGTCGACAGGGCTCCTTTCCCCTCTCCAAAGGAAAACAGCCTCCTCTCCCTCCACGTGCTTCCCTGGACTCTAGGAACCAGCTGAGACCTATCTAGGGTCTCCTACCCTAAACACTTACCAGAAGGTTTGGCCAAGCCAAGCCAGGCTCTTAACAGGGCTACTGGTGAATAAAGTTTCCTCCATCATTTTACGTACGTAATATGTTTGTACATGCCTAAAAAGTCCCTGGAAAGATATCCAAGACATACTTAATAGTATCTTTTTGTGGCGAGCGGCACTAAGGTTGGTCAGGTTGTACAGGATGACATCAACTTGCATTTCATATTTTCATACAAAGTACCACAAACTGGTGGTCTTAAAACAATAGAAATTTATTCTCACACAGTTCTGGAGGCCAGAAGTCTGAAATCAAGGTGTCAGCAGGGTTCTGCTCTCCTGAAGGGCTCTCGGGGAGAATCCTTCCTTACTTCTTCCAGCTTCTGGTGCCCCCGGCACTCCTTAGCTCTGAACAGCATCATTCCAGTCTCTGCCTCCATTTTCACATGCCATCTTCCTGTATGTCTGTCTTTGTGTCTCTTCTCTTCTGAGGACACCAGTCCTGTTGAATTAGGGCCCATCCTAATAACTTTCCTTGGTCACATCTGTAAGACCCTACTTCCAAATAAAGCATGGGGTAGGGGAGGGAGGGGGTTCTTTGGGGACACAGTCAATCTACACAAGCCATGATTACTCTAACAATTAAAAGACAACGGTTCAACGTGCAACACTCTACAAGGCAACTTGTCTCTTTAAAACATCAGTGCTATGAAAAATTGGAGGGGCTGTTGAAGAATAAAAGAGATGTAAGAAACATAACCAAAATGCAACGTTTAAAACTTGTCTGGGGCTTCCTTGGTGGCGCAGTGGTTGAGAGTCTGCCTGCCAATGCAGAGGATACGGGTTCGTGCCCTGGTCCGGGAAGATCCCACATGCCGCGGAGCGGCTGGGCCCATGAGCCATGGCCGCTGAGCCTGCGCGTCTGGAGCCTATGCTCCGCAATGGGAGAGGCCACAACAGTGAAAGGCCCGCGTACCGCCAAGAAAAAAAAAAAAAAAAAAAGACACTTGTCTGGATCCTGGTTTGAAAAAAAAGTCTGCAAAAGATGTTTCGTTGTTGTTGACAACTGGCAAAATTTAAATATAGCCTGGTTATCAGACGATATGAGGGATTTATTGTTAACTTCCTAGCTGTGATATTTGATCGTGTTGGAGAGGTGTTATTCTTGAGATGCATGTTGAAGTATCTTTGGGGAGAGTTTCATAATGTCTGCCTCCGACTGTCACAAGTTTCAGGGTAAAAAATTACACCCGAATACAGATGAAGCTAATACAGCAGGATTTTTGCATCTAGATGACTGATCCCATCATGCCCATGATTAAAACACTTCCATGTTACATGCAGCTGCTGTAAGTTGATGTTAGACTTAAAAAAAAAATCTTATTCATTTATTTATCTTTGGCTGCATTGGGTCTTCATTGCTGTGCGTGGGCTTTCTCTATTTGCGGTGAGCGGGGGTTACTCTTCGTTGTGGTGGCTTCTCTTGTTCCGGAGCACGGGCTCTAGGCACGCGGACTCAGTAGTTGTGGCACATGGGCTCAGTAGTTGTGGCACACGGGCTTAGTTGCTCCGCGGCATGTGGGATCTTCCCAGACCAGGGCTCGAACCCGTGTCCCCTGCATTGGCAGGCGGGTTCTTAACCACTGTGCCACCAGGGAAGCCCGACTTTAGACTTTTAAGACCGAAAATTTTAGAGTGTTTATCATATACCTTAAAGAAATGAAAAACCATATTTGAGTATGCAATAAACTCATTTCATACTCTCAGGTATTTTGGGTTTGAAAATTTTCATAATAAAAATTGTGCAGGAAAAACTACTCAAACAACAACAACCACAACCGTTTCAACAACTCCCAGTTATCTGGGATAAAACACAAACTCTTCCATACAACTGCATCAACAACCCACCTCTTCATCCCCCTTCCACCTACATTCCAGTAACAGCAGGGCACCATTCGCCTTTACACTTCTTCCTTTCCTTGCCACCAGGTGCTGTTGGACATCTCCTCCCCGCCCCCCCCCAGGTCAGAGGTCACCTGTGGGATTCAGGACGTCCCCACGCCGCAGAGCCGCGTCCTGGACTGTCCTTGTGCGGCCCTCCCTGCTCTGGGATTCCGCACTGGCGCGCCTGAGGAGTTCCACAGCTGTCTGCCAAAAGGAAATCAACTCAGCTCTGCCATTCGAGTCCTCAGGTTACACGTTTTCTCCAAAATAGTCAATTAACAAGCATTATTTTTGACAATTCATAAAGGCTAACCGGGTGCCGGCGCGGAGCCGGGTCCGCGCGTAAGCTCAGACAGACCGGCTGCCCACGGAATCAACGCTCCCGCCACGGTAGCCCAGTCTCCGCGCTGCTGGACGCCGAGGTCCCGCCGGCGCCGAACGCGAACCTGAGATCCGCCGGACTGCGCGCAGTGCCCTTCGGGGAGAGCGGCCCGGTGCCACCTCAGTCCTCTCGCGAGGTCACCAAGACGAGGACCCCCCACAGCGCGAGGGGCGTGACCCACCAGCTGGGAAAGGTCGCGCCCCTAGCCGGCCCCGCCCCAAGGCGCCACGGCCCCGCCCACTGCATCGCACGGCCCTCCCACTACCCACACACGGCCCGCCTACCGCTCCTACGCGGCCCGCCCCCTGCCGCCACAAGTCCCTCCCCATCCTCCACAAGCCCCGCCCCTGCTCCAAAAGGTCCCGCCTACTGCCTCCACGCGTCCCGCCCCCTGTTCCCACACGGCCCAATGGGCGTCTACGCGGCTCCGACCGGCCGTTCACGGCTACGCGGTGACGTCAGGCGCCGACGCACCTGTCGGCCCTGCTAGCGCCGCTCCTGTCGGCTTCCTGGGGTCGGTGGGTCGGGCGGGACGGTCCCGAGCCGCAGTCCTTCCTGCGGGCCCGTCGCCGGCGGCCGGAGTCGGGCCGAGCGCCGAGGAGGGGTGCTGGTGGCCGGCCGCTCCAGTTCCTCCCCGAGTTGGAGCATGGCTGCAGCTGCGGTCCCTCCAGAGGGAGGTGAGCTCGGAGGCGGTCGTGTTTGATTCGGGGCAGCAGCGGGTCGAGTCCAGGGCCCCGGAGCCGGCGGCTGCAACTTGATGCGGCTCCCTCCCGGCTGAGCCCGTGGGTTGCGGTCGCGGTGGGGCTGGCCGCGCCGGCCGCCCTCAGATGCGGAGCCCGCCGGCGGCGCAGGACGCGGCCCCGGGGCTGCTGTCTGCCTCTGAGCGGCGAGGTGAGTGGCGGCGGCGGCAGGGGGTCCGGGGCCGTGGCTTCCGCGGGGCAGGGCGGGCCGCTAGCCTCTCCGTCCTGGGACGCTGACCCCGCCAGCAGCAGGTGTGGCCCGCGGCCGTTCTCTGAGCTTTCACCTGCTTCCTTCGGGAACCGCCGAAAGACCTGTGAGCAGAATGGACGTAGGTGCCAGGAAGAGATTAATTGTGGGTTTTACTTTTGCGAAATTTGCCCAACTATAAAGTTCAGTGTCTCTTTCTTTAAATTTATGTGTATATCAAGACATAGTTTGTGTGTATATGTAACATTTGTGTTTTGTTCTTAGACTTGGACCGGAAACCACCTTAGACTCAGAAATCGATATTGTATATAATGTGCTTTATTTGTATAGCATTTCAAAACCGGAGCACCTAGAAGATAATTACACATACTTTATGCATATTAGAGACCGAGATTTGTGTTTCCTTTGGAAGAAAATTCTTTTTTTTTTTTAATAAGAAATGAATCAACAGTGACTGGTACCATTTTTTCTCTTTGGTAATTCAAAAGTTCAGTTCTGCAAACTATAAACTTTTTTGAGTTTACAGCATGCAGTTCAGTTACAGCAGCATCACTGTGGTTTGTCTTTGTTGAATCTTTCCAGAAATGCTTTACTTTTCATCTCTCAAGAGTTAATTTAGAAGAATCTTTTCTTGATGAGGTCGGCATGGAAATAATTTAACTGATGTCAGTCAATTTTACTTGCTTCTGTGAGTCACTGGAAAATACTGTCTGTGTAGCACGGGAGTACACAGAGAAGTTAAAATGCTCGTGTATAGGTTGTTGATTTCATCCTAAAAGGTGCTGTTGCTGATTTTCTTGTTACAGACTGTGGCTTAAAAACCAGGTGTGTGCCCTGCAGTTATTTACTCAGGTTAAGCCAGCTTTTCTGACCTCTGGTTAATAGGAACAGCCACTGTTGGAAGAACCCAAGGCAGATTGCAGCTCTCCCACACCTAACTCCCCACACTCTTCAAAGACTGAATCTTTGTTTGAAAAACAGGTCACATTATTTTAAGAGATCAATATGAATGTATAGTACCTACAACTTTAGTTGGAACTTGTGTTTTAGCATGTGTTTTCAATCATACATAGCTCATTAGGAATGCCAATATTTAACCTGGTTTTGGATATATACAGTTTAGGGGAAGGATTTGCTGAGTTTAGGATTTTATGTCAGTGAATTGGCTGTTTTCCAGGTCATGTTGGTGATAGGCTTTCCATTTCCTGTTGTGACATGTTGGTAATAATTTTCAGATGGCTCAGGAAGCCAGATTTGATCTCTGTGGTGGGTCAGATATCAAAGCAGTATCCTGTGAGGTTTGGCCACTATCACTGCTTTGTAGAGCTTTCATCTTAGTTTCCAGTCAAACCTTTCAGCAGGGATCTAAAATATGATGTGTTAATATTTATTGAGCGAATTCTATGGTTCAGGATCTTTCCTAAGTGGTTTTGTGGATTATCTCAATTCTCCAACCCCTTGAAGTAGGTACTTTGATTTTTCCCGTTATAGAGCTGTGGAAACTGAGGCATAGAGGATTTAATTAATTTGCCCAAGGTCACAGTCAGTGTCAGAACTGAGACTGAAGCCTGGCAATGTGATTTCAGAGCTCTTGCTCTCACTGGCTGCACTTCATTGCGAGCGAGACTCAACAAAATGCTGGAAGAAAAGATGGGGTGAGAGAGATGGCAGCACAGGTCCATTTATTCTTCAGTTATAAAAATAATGTAAAATTACAGAAACTCTGGAAAATCTTTTTTTTTAATCCTCATGCCACTACTCTAAGAAACTCTTCTTGTGTTTTTTAATTATGCACTTTCACATGTGTATATAAACATTGTAGCTATGATACATTTTGATTCTTAAAGATCAGTGTTCTTCGGTTAAGTATAAGGTTAAATATAAAATGAAAGATGAACCCACGTGGGGAAAATGCTCATTTGCATTGCTGAAATATAGAGAGATTTGATCTGCAACTTTGATTGGAACCATGTCAGGTAAATACATTTCTTGCCCTCATGGGAAGTAGTTGAACAGTTTCTGTCTTGTAAAGTCATGGAAATTATTTAGTTTTCAAAGTCTAAGTCCTCCACAGCATCTTTTTGTTGGATTGTTTACCTTTTTACTTGTTATAGTCTGACTTTTATATTTGTGTGTGTGTTTTTCCTTTTAAAATCATCTAGCAGTTATCTTTTGACTGGATCTAAAAATATTTATGAATCTGGGAAATTTTCTTCAGAATAGAAAGCCACTTTCTTTAGCAGGTTATCCATTTAATACTTTTTTGAAGAGAAATATCTAAGGTGCAGTGATTTGGACATGCAGCTAACTTAATGGACAGTAGGATAAAATACCAGGAAATATTACTTTGGGGAGAAATGCGTTTCATTACTGTCATGTCTTGTAAGTACTGACAATTTGTATTAGGGTAAATTCTTTTTTAATATGGTGATGTTCTGATCTAAGTTTCATGATGTTATAATGGGTAGAGGGGTCATTCCCTGGTAAAATAAATTTGAGAAACTTTCAATAAATTTTGTTTATGAAGTTAATGTTTACTACAGGTTTTCTCAAGAACCTTTCTTATTCTGTTAACCATTACAATTCTACACAGGGTATGTTTTATTACCCAGACTTATCTGACCACGAAACCTTGCATTGGACTTGTGTTCTCTGCACACACTCACTCATCGCCAAATGTCTTTGTCACCTTCTTGGCTCCATGGCTTGATTCACGCCAATGCTTCACTGTTGCTTCAATGAACTAACCTCTTCTCCCACCTCTGCCCCATAAAATCCCACTTACCTTTTTTTTGGCCACACCACGTGCTTGCAGGATCTTAATTCTCCCAGAGTTTGAGCCTGGACCCCTGGCAGTGAAAGCACGAGTCCTAACCACTGGACTGCTAGAGAATCCCTCCCACTTACCTTTTAAGGTCCAATTCAAGTGTGTCTCTTCCAAAGAAGTCTTCGCATCATCAATTACAGATGGATGCAGTCTTTTCCCCGAGCTCTTGTAACAATTTCAGTGTCTTCTGTGACATCTGTCATGCGTTGCCTGTCATTATATGGATATATAGTAATTTATAGGAAAAAATTACTATATCCCTTTTGAGGACAGTATATTATGTAATTTATGCTGAAGTTTATTGAAAGCTGTAAGGCCTGTACAGATATGATGCCATTAATAAATAAAAATTTTGTCTGTATTTTTTTTTTTTACAGTTTCTGGTACACGAGTGGCCATTTTACAAACTTTAGTAAATGTGTAAATGATTGTGTTGAAATTCATTGTCACGTTTTAATCTTTGACAAGTCTTTCGCACACCTAGTTCTTGAAATATTCACGTGAGGAAGCTCCTTACTTCCAAGTGGCTATATCAGTCAGAGTTCCACCTCCCTGCGGTTATTGCTGTTGAGACTTTGTTTGTTTTTAAATTTTTGGCTGTGTTGGGTCTTCATTGCAACGCGCGGGCTTCTTATTGCGGTGGCTTCTCTTGTTGCGGAGCATGGGCTCTAGGCACTTGGGCTTCAGTAGTTGTGGCACGTGGGCTCAGTAGTTGTGGCTCACGGGCTCTAGAGCACAGGCTCAGTAGTTGTGGTTCACGGGCTTAGTTGCTCTGCGGCATGTGGGATCTTCCCGGACCAGGGCTCGAACCCGTGTCCCCTGCATTGGCAGGCAGATTCCTAACCACTGTGCCACCAGGGAAGCCCTGCTCTTGAGACTTTTTTTCATCTCTGGCTGCTGACATTTGGGATTTTCTTTTCTTCTTTCTCTGGGGTTGATTGTGCCTGCTGTTCTGTCAGATAGCTGACTGACACGCCTTTGCAACTTAGCCATGGTCCTCAGGCCTACCCAGTCCCCTTGATGAGAGGGCAAAACCTTGTTGGAAGCTATGAAGAAGCAGCATGCCTCCCTCAGGCTCTGGGTTCCAGGTCTCCCTCGTTCTGCTCCCCACCCCCCAGTTCTGGTGCTGAACCGCTCAGTGTCTGCAGTTCAGGGGCTAGACTGGTGCGCTCAGGGTCGCCATCCCCTCACTGCAGTCTGGCCTGGAATAGGACTAAAGCCTGAGTGTGTAATCCTGCTGTTGGAAAGAACGCTCTGGTTCTGAGTCCTACAAGCTGCTGGA